TCATCCTACACTGAGTAGAGGTGGCTGAATAGACAGTTTCCTGAGACCCCTTCTGATCTCAACAGTTCTGAGGTTCTGTAAAGTTTGAAAAGTGAGGTTTGGGGGGGGGCTTATTTTAAAATTTAAAAGGGTGATACAGGGATCTGCACGCTTCTTCCCGCTACTGTGTGTTGTATACATACAATTCCCGGTATCACACTGACATCCTTATCTCAGTTGTGGCTAATCATTTACATTGCTGTAGTGGACGTATCAGTCAAAAGTGAAAGATGCATCATACTGCCTCAGCACCATAAACAGACTGCTTTATAATTAACCATTTTATAGAATCTGCAAGCCAAGGTGGCACCCAGAGCTAAGATTATTTATACCAGGTACTTAATGTTGAGTATTAAAGACTGGAAAACATGCTGAAATTCGACAAACGTGGCATGCAAGGCAGATATATGGGCATTATATACCACTGCTTAAATACTATGCAGTAAACTGGTTAGCACTGTGTTTATAGTATGGCGGTTGTGGGTTATATCAACAGCAAAAAAAACCAAAGGTAAAACAGTAAGGGGAAAAAAAAAACCCAACAGATTAAAGAACCTCTGGTTGCCTTCTTGAACATAAGACGCTGAAAGAGCTGCCAGCCCCAGGCTCTGTTTTCAGACAAGGTTGGGGCTGCTGCCTTCTATTTCCTGAGCATGACAGCTTTTGATTTTGGCCCCAAGGAAGACAAAAGCAGCTGGAGGAAAAAGATTTGGTTTGCCTATGCACTTTTAAGGCAACTCAATTAGAAGAGGCCAAATCGGAGCCAGAAATGAGGCAGCAAAGCTGTGAAATGTGGTCAGGTTGTAAAATCACTCAAGTGGAATACCAACATGAAAAATACCAGGCAAATCACATCCAGCCCATTAAAGGCAGGTGGGAAAGTTTGAAATATAAGGTAATACAGTTCTCTAGATTAAGTAATCAAGAGGTACTTACCAGGATGAGTCCTAACTGTACTGTCTGGGATCCTGATTAGGGGTTTCCACTGTCATCACCAAGGAGGGATGAACTGCTTATTAGCTCAGGCACTAGGATACAGACTTCCCATTGTTTTCTGTGGGTAATACCCTGAGGTATTTGAAAAGAAAATGATACACTGTTATTTCTACTTCTGAAGTGTCTACCAGTCATAATGTAGTACTTATGGTTCTGGTTTCACAACCTCTTTAAGGCAGTGTATGTAGGGAATGCTGCCAAAACAGGTCCTCCCACCTGCTCTCATTTTTTGACCAGCATTACTGAACCGGTAAAGTGAGGATAGGTTAGGATGTTAGTTATCGATTAAATCCTGCTAGGACTCTACCCAGGAAAGATTCATAAAATGACCTTTTTCCGGTATTTATGTTTTGTTCCTGATGCTACGACTAAACAAATATTTAATTTTATACATTCTGCTTATCAGAGCCTGACTAATGCAGTGTGCTCTGTAATCTAGCACCAAATGTGAATGAAGAGTACACACAACCGCATCCTGGACAGTGGGGTGGGTGGGGAGGAAATTATCATTTTCACTGAAATTAAATTGAAATTGAATTAATTTAATTTCACTGAAATTAAAGAGACACAGCCTCAACCTCAACTTAATTGAGAATTAATTACAAAGTAGAAAGTAAGGTAAATCACGAAAAGCTCCTAGTTTTGGCAGAAAAGTATGAAAAGAGCATCAGCGTACCACTGCGTGTCAATTACAATGCTTGTAAACAAAAAATGCTTGTAAACAAGAAAAGATGACGGTGTTAAGTCTGTATGTGTGCTATTCGAGTACGAGTTCCACGCTTGTCTGGTAAGCGCATCTGCGGTGACAGATTCTGGCCTGTTTTTAGATGCCAGGTGGGAAGAGAGATGCAAGCACATACGGACGTACAGAGCGCCAGGGAATCAGTGCCACTGGAAACGCGGGACAGATCCTGCTCAGACACACAGCGAAGCCGAAGAAAAGGCTCATTGTCCAGGCTACCTGGAGCAGCGCATGATGCTGGTCTGCGGAGGGCAGGGGACCGGCGCTGTACGGGTGGCAAGAGAGAAGCTGCGAGGGCTCCTCAGGGCCCGGGGCGGGACGGGATGAGCCACACCGCGCACCGGAGCGGTCGGTCCCCTCAGGCACCGGGGCCGGGACAGCGCCTGCAGGGCGGCGCCTGACAGCTCCGCCGCTCCGGAGTAAACTTTCCCGCCCGCCGTCTCCCATCACCGCCGCCTCCCTCGCCCCGGGGCGGCAGGTCGCCAGCCCACCCCAGCCCCTCTCCCCTTCCACCTCCGCCGCCGCCGCCCCCCTCAGGCCGCGCCTCCCCCTCACCTGGGCGAGGGCGATGGCGGCGGCCCCGGGTCCCGCTCCATCGCTGCGGTGGGGAGACAGCAGCCCGGCGGCGGTGACAGCTCCCGAGCTAGGTGAGCGCCGCCGCCACTGAGCAGGCGCGGAAGGGGCTGGAGGGCGGGCGGCCCCCGCGATGATGTGGCCCGTGATGCGCAGCAGCCGCCGCCGCCACCGCCAGCGTCGGGCGGCTTCGCTTCCAGTTGGAGAAGCTCTCGTGGCGACCTAGCGTTAGAGTTGCTGGTTCGTGCTCGCTCCGGAATGTCAGCACTGGGGCATTCTCCTGCCAGCTGGCTAAAAATAGCTTCCTGAGGGATCCGGCTGATTTCAGTATTTGGGTCAGTTGAATATTCTCTCGTTCTTGCCCAGCTAGGCTGCGTGCCCAGTGCACAACACCAAGTGCTTTAGCGTAAGTCTGTGAGTGACTCTGTAGACACCAGCTGCCTGCATTAAACTAAATACAGAGGCAAGGCCTTGCTGAGTACTTTTTATCAGTCCTCAAAACTCTTTGTCTTGAGACACACTTTATATCAATGCATTAAAACAGTGAAGCTGGCTAAACTTGTGCATTTATTATCATCACTAGTGTTATTAGAATCATATCACAGAATGGTTTGCGTTGGGACCTTAAAGATCATGTAGTTCCATAGTCAGGGACACCTTCCACTAGACCAATTTGCCCGAATCCCTGTCAAACCTGGCCTTGAAAAATGCTAGGAATAGGGCATCTTATTGTACATCTTGTAATGTTTTTTACCTGTGCTTAAATCTCTGCTTTCTCACACATACTGACAGCATCTAGCTCCATGGTAGGCCAACACTTGGTGACTTGGCCAAGCTGCCTTTTGTTTTGTCTACAGAAAGGAAAAAAGATGATGTATACTTGGCTGCTGTCACCATCAAGAAGTCCCAGTTCTCTTTTCTCTCTCCTTCTCTCTGAGGAGATCTTCTCTGAGATTTTGTGACTGGGGCCAAAACAATCTGCACTACTGTAGCGAAATACACAGCATCATCTTGAACTCTTGGGTCAATACGGCACTGAATCGATGAAGGAGCCCAAACCTTTGCACTATTAATTCAGTGGTAGATGCTGCCTCAAGTCTGCATTTGTTGGGAATTTGGGCTATGAGTGCTGTTGTCCCCTGCCCTGGTAGCAGCCACATGTATCCATGCTTCAGGTGTGTTCACATGTGGATATGTAGTTGGGCCACCCTGTAAATCAGATAAAGATCATACCCACTGTTGCTGCCAGCAGGTTAGACTGTACAGCTGAGGTTTGGGAACAGCACCTGAGGGCGCTATTTCTGGCTTCTCCAATTCCTTGTCTGGTGATCTTGGGCAATCATTTCATCAGTCCCCATTACAGGTTCCTAGATGGTGTTATGTCACACCCTCTACTGAAATCACATAATACCCATGGGTGAAATAGATTGTTTAAGGTTCACACACTGTTACACTGGGCTGTGTGCAGATTCAGCAAGAGTTGCTTTTGTGGCCAAAAGTCCTTGAGATCTTTCAGGCAGCATAGCTAGCAACATGAGTTATTTGGAAAAATTGAAATCCTGGAGCACCGTTGGTTAGAAAGGTGCAAACTGGGTTGAAAATTTGGTGGAATGGACCTGGTACATCCCAAAGGAAAGTGATTCCAAGGGAAGGTGACAAAGGACACTGTTTTGAGACAGGCCGGTGGGAAAACAGCAGGGTAGGCTCTTGCTTGAGGCCCTGCAGAAGGTTTCCTCCGTACTCCCAGAATCACAGAATGGTTTGGGTTGGAAGGGACCTTAATGCTCATTCAGTTCCAACCCCCTGCCATGGGCAGGGACACCTTCCACTAGACCAGGTTGCTCCAAGCCCTGTCCAACCCGGCTTTGAACACCTCCAGGGATGGTGCAGCCACAGCTGCTCTGGGCTTGGGATGGTGCTGCCCAGCTTCTCTGGGCAGCCTGTTCCACTGTCTCACCAACCTTATGGTGAAGAATTTCTTCCTAATGTCTAACCTTGTATTTGTTAATTCTAAGATAGTGGGATCTGATTTTTGGTTTGTCCCCTTGTGTTCTGTAATGAGGGCATATAAACACCACCCACCTCGTTATACTTTTTCTCTGTTTCATCTTGGACTTCCCATCTCCTCTCAAGTGTTCAGTTCTCTTTTCACAGTTTCACATTATGAACAGACGGGCAGAATCTGAAGAGCAACAGTGTGGCCGGTGTCAGCTGAACTTGGCGGTTGTGCAAGCTGCTTTTCCAAGAGATAATTGAGATTCCCTCAGGGCCTTACATTTAATTTTAGGTGCGTTTGTCAAACTGTGACCGTGAAAACGGGAAGGTTTTCAAAGAGGAGCAGCAGCTGGCAGGCATTCAGGCAGTGCTACCTGCTCGAAGCTTGGTTTCATTTCTCCTCCGGGCGATGAGATGGAGTTTTCGTGACAAATCGTTCCGTAAAGATTTTTAAACCCCCTTTTTTGTCTTTGTACCGTGAATTGTTTTCATTTCTGCATTATTAACCCCGTATTTACATGGCTGTAGGTAGGTGTCTGTGCCGGTTACCGGGCACGGTTAGGCGCGGCGGTAACGCCGTGGAGCCCCATACGAGCCGCTAACCCCTCGCCGCGGCTTGGGGGCGGCTTTGCTCCTCCCGCCCTCCAGAGGGCGCTGCGGAGCGGGCCGACGGCCCGGCTCCGTTTCCGGTTGTGTCGGGGCATGGCGGGGGATGGCGGCGCGGCAGCCTCACGGGAGCTCCTGGCCGTGGGGCTGCGAGGAGGTGAGCGGGCTCCGCGGCGGCGGGAGCGCGGCCGGGCCGGAAGGGGTAGCGCTGCTCTCCGCGCCGAGTGGGTTCCCCCGCCGGCCTCTCGGCCGGGACCGGCGCTCAGTCCCCAGCTCTACACACACCGGTCGGGGAGGGTTGAGCCGGGGATCGGGGTGTCGGCTCGGCCTGTGGGGAGACTGGGGCCTCGCCTAGCGGCAAGCAGCCTGAGGAGGGGCCTTCTGAGGCACGCCGGGTGCCGGTGCTCGCTCCCTTATGCAGTGTGTTTTGAAGGAGCGCCCCTTTCCCAGGCAGTGCTGCTGCGGTACGAAGTGAATACAGCGGAAAACCACGTTAAATGAGTATCCGCAGTAGTAACAGCATTTCTGTGAGAATAAAGACGTGTTACCAGGAAATAACCCTTAGCTTTATTTAACAATAATAGGCCAATGGCTCAGTAGACGGTGTAATAACTTGGCTAATGCAGCGTTTCCCCTACATAGTTTTGCTTTTACGGCGCTACTCTCGGAAACAGTTAATTTAGGTCATCAGCACCGCTGTTCTGGCCTGATTTCATCGATGGCCACCACAGTCACACACATAAGGGAAGGGGTTTAAATCAGTGTAAGTAGCACGTGTTAGACGCTGCCTCACTGTGCTTGCTGTGGGGTGTTACAGGTAGTTTATCTGTGCATTGGTAACTCCCTAAATCTTGACAAAGACTTTAAAAACGGTTGAAGCCCATATGAAGTGACCTGCAGCGTCGGGGCAGTGGTCTGCATAGCTCAGTATTCTTTCTTCTACAGAACTGCAATAGCAGATAATAGTTGCAGAGGAGATTCTATTATCTCCGAATGATTTGGGTTGGAAGGGACCTTAAAGGTCATCCAGTTCCAGCCCTACCTGCCCCCCCCCCCCTTGCAGGGCCACCAGGCTGCTCAGCCCCATCCAGTGTGGCCTTGTTAAACTTGTTAATTCAAGCACTGTGTACTCCCTGTTCTTGTAACTGCGGTGTCTGCACCTAAAAGGGAGGGATGCTAGAGGGTATATTCCTGCTTAGTCCTTGCAGTGCCTCATTATAACTCTGCTGCCTTGAATTCGTCTTAATTCCATGTTGAACCTGCAGATCAGTAGTGAGCCTCACAGTTAAAATGTGACATTTGTGGTTAATGAAGGTGAACATTCAAATACTCATTTGTTTCCAGGGCTGGAAGAAACTTTGTTGATCAGATCAAAATGCAGCAGCAAGGAGGCCACAACCTTACAGACAGTGAGGATGCCGAGGAGTAGCCGTAAGTATAGGGGGATGATCACTTCCCCGACCCTGCTGGCCACACAATTTCTTTTTTGCTGTTTATGTCTTGGGAAATTGAATACTGTTTAAATTAATGTAATTTAAACTTCTTCTAATATGGTAGGCAGATAGAAATTGCAGTTGAAATGGAATCCGTTTAAATGCTTGTGTTTCTGAGGTATAACTATATAAACTAATGTGCATCTGTTTGTTTATATACACATATTTTTCAGTTTTGGACCGAGTACAGAGCTTTTTACCACAGATGGCCCATGCAAATGATGAGCTAAGAAGAAAAATGGTTACAGCACCAGCTCATCAGTTTGATATTGAAAATCTAGACAGTGCAACAGAAAAAGTTATAGAAATGGTAAATACTTACTATAATTTTATTTCATAACATATGATTAAAATAATTATCTGATCTTGGAATGAGCTGATTTGATAGATAAGGCCAGGTCTTTACTATTTTAGTCCATGATCTGCAAACTGAAAACATAGATATAGCTTATTTTGGTTTAAATTTAATGACTGAGGATGAAGTAGTTTAAGGTGAGAATAAGACAACATTTGGATCAACAATTCTGAATCAAAATTATGTCACAAGTTTATTCTGAATGTCTTGTGGGTGATTTTAGAAACTGGACAAGATAAGGAGTAGTAAGGCGTATCAGAAGGCTTTATTATAAGAGTAATAACTGGCTTTCAGCTGTGCTTTGTAGGTGTTTTTAGAACTCACTTGTAGATCTTGGGTTTAGAAAAGCTGTTAATGCTGTGATCCTCTATGCCTGGTATTTGTCTTATTTACTTAGATTTACATCAGTATTTTCTTTCTGTTTTTAACTGAAGTGTTACAGCCACAAGCTCATGTAAGAAAATCTTAATATGAAGGTGATGTGATATGTGCATGTCCCAGACATGCCTTCAGGCCTGCAGACCCACAAGATAAAAAGGCAGAAACAGACAGCTTGGAGTCTGGGGTGTGAGCTGTCAAAAAAATTTGTTGGCCACTCGTTCAATTCAGAGTTCCTGTAGGTTATATCCAGCCTGTGTGCAGTAGGTTGCCCAGTGCTGGCATATGCTGAAGAAATGGCCTTGTATCTGCTGAAGGGCAATATAAATTATAATTTAAATATTTAGGAATCTGTTAATTTGCCATAATCCTAGGAGAACTCAGAAGTCAGTCTAATTGTGGCTGTGGTTTTCTTATGGTAATAGTCTCTTTTATGTGTTCGCTTTATGTTTTACTCAAATGATTGAAGCGATATAGAAATGTATAATGTGCTATAACTAAGGTCTTTTTCCTCAGAATGTGGCTGTAGTTGAACTGAGCGATTCTGATACAGATGAAGAGATATTAACTTCAGAAGATGACTCGGAATCTGAAGATGACTGTATAGCTGGCGAAGTGACAATAGACAACATTAAGTTTCCTAAACAAAAGGGAGAAAAAGGCAAAATAGAAGTTCTGGACAGCAAAGTGAATGAGTAAATCTATTTTATTTTACTAAAAAAAAAAAATAAAAAAATAAAAAATTAACCAAACCAAACTCACCGAAAACCCCAAATCGTGTTTCTTACTTTGAAGACTTGGCCCTTAAAAACCACCTTGTTTCCTGATGTCGCATCCCTCAGGATCATGTGAAATGCTGTAGTTTACATGGTGGACAATTTAGGATCCACTCATGACTGAGACGAGGTGGATTTCTAAAGAATTAAGTACGGTTTTATTCATTGAGCAGCATGGAAGTTAATAAGCAGATTAGACTAAAAAAGCAGCTAACATTTGCAGCACTTAGAACTAGTTAAGTTAAAATTCTTGTTTTGTTGCTTTGTTGAAGAAAGATTGTTGAAGGAAGATTTTTGTAGTGTGCTGGAAGAGGTTTTTGCTTCAAGGGCAGAGAAGAGTTAACTAAGAAAAAAGCTTCAGTTTTTCTATCCCATGTCCTGTGAAGTGTTATGCACGATGCTTCAATATTAAACAGTTTCTTGAAATGTGATAGAGGTATGTTTACATTGCATTCACGGCAGTGACTGTTGAACACTGAATCAACAGCTGAGTATTTCAAGATGAGCTGGCATGGATAATGGCAGCCATGGCTCTAAAGAGAGGTCAGCAAAGGATTACTTACGTTTTCTGCCTGCATTGAAGTCCCTGTCATTATAGGTAGGCTACTAGCTGATATCTGGAACATTTGTGGCTGTAGGGCAGGTACCCTCAGTACTTAAGCGGTGAGGTCTGCTGCTGTGGTATTACAGTTGCTTTAAGCTATGCTTTTTGTCTCCCACTTCCCCTGCCACATTTCTGTCCTCTCCATTTTGTTAACAATTGTCACTGCCAGAAGAACAAAAAGCTAAAATTTCAGCTGGCCTATACTTAGGTTAGCTTGAAATAGTTGTGAAAACTAGAATCAGTGAAAGTATGTCTCATTCTTACTTACCTCAGATTGATCAAATAGTTATTTTGGCTGTTGTGTTTACAACATTAAACAGTTTGCATTTCAGAAGTATCTGTTGTGCTCCTGAATGTCATTGTTTTTTTCTTAAAGGAACTTTCTGTCCTCTACACCATTAAAGTTTTCTATATTGTATTTTCTCAAATGTTAAACTTGATGTCATAACATGAAACCTGCAGTTATTTAGAGAATTTGCTTTGAATCCCATACTTAAAGCTATAGTTTTAATATCTGTTTCTGTATTATTTGTGATAAGAAATAACAAGGATTCTGGTCTTTCTTTCACAATGTGACTTAAAAATAGAAAAGGGGCTTGATTTACTGGGATTAACTGATTAAACCACAAAATGTTGCAAGTGAGGAAAGGATGGGAATCAGAGAATGGGACTGCTACTTTAAACAGCAAGCCCACAGATCAGGATAAGCTTTGTGTGAAGTTGCACTCCTAGAAGGGCAAGTGGTGTTAGTATGCTTAGTTTGCTAGGTGAGGTCTCTATGGAAAATTTCCTTCAAACTGAAGAAGCTTGAAAGCCAACATCTTAACTGAGTCATATTACAAGGGATTTTGTAGACAAAAAAAGCCCAAACAAACCCACAAAAATTGTGAAATACAAAGTAATAATCATGCTGTAAGAATCAGTGGTAAGAGTACACGTGAACAAAGTGATTTTAATCTGTTAATGTAACCAGCTTTCAAATTGCAGGCATAATCACACATTCCATATCAACAAGAAGATAGAAAATATTTTCAGTAACTTGAGCTTGATATGCATAGTTTAACACCAATGTTGAACTCTGTATGTACTATACAAAGATCAGAGTAAGTGCACTTTCTTGCATTGATTTACATCTTGTGGCACGAAGGTTTTCTGTACTGCTGAAGAATCCCAGAGCAGAATGTTCAGCTGCTACTGTAAAACTTAAACTCATTATCACAGAAATGGCATAATCAGTGTATTTTAGTTCAAAAGAAACCTGGTAAGTAAGGATTTAATGATTGTGTAAATATGTTCACACAAATAAGAAGTAGGCAAGTAAGAATTCATTCTTCAGTTGGACTTTAAAAAATAAACTATGTACTTGGTATTTTGGGGGGGATTGCACTAACAACTGCTGCTGCATAATTTAAGTAACTTCAGGTTAGTTTCCAAATGCTTTATCTGTCAGCGAGACTAAAATTTGGGTTTGATCTATAGAAACTTATCCATGGAATGGGTTTTACTTTGTTTTTTAGTTATAGCGCTGCAGAAGGCCTATCCTAGGCATGGTATTAAGTGCTTCTTTGAGATTCAGACTCTGCTGAATGTTTACTTTCCAGGTGAAGGTGTTACTTTAATATTCCACAGTGATGGCCTTGGTTCTGAGATATTCATGAAGAGCTTCTTCACCTATACAAGCACAATATTCACCAGTTAGCATAGCAGCTGAATGAGAGAATGTTGTCAGTCACTGTAACATTATTAAGAAAAATAATAAAATGCTTCAGCCAGTATAAAAGTCCTTATGGAACAATGGAAACTCATTGACTTACCCTCCCACTGAGATCTACAGAACTGGTTTGACAAGAAGAGGCCAAATCCAACAGATGTGGAAAGAACAAGGAGCTGGAATTTAACAAGCAGCCACCTGGGTGGGACTGAAGCAGCGGTGGTCTCCAGATAGCCACTGGGGGCTCATAGATGAATTTATGAACTTTGGTTTGCCTATGTTACAGTTTCTGGGCAGAGAAGCTGTGTAGAAATTGGTAGTCTTTCTTTTCCTCATACTGTTACTCATTTTGGTTTCAGAAAATGGGATACTTGCTACAGATTCTAAAGGCAAAAATCTTGTGTCACTGAACATTTTTTTGTTGTTTTTCTTTGCTATGAGGCCTGATCTGTCCAGACTTGTAAAGTTTCATTGAAAGACAAAACTTCACTTGTTTTAAAGCTGGTGTTGAAAAGATTGTTTTAAATACATCTTTTTTCAGGGCTGTTGGCAAATTCTGATAACATTTTAAGGCATAGAAGTTTCCCATGCATTTAGAAATTCAGAAGAGAAAGCTGAAATAGCATTCATTCTGAGGAAAAGGAAAGATTTTGGCCAATATCTTTGCTGCTTGGCAGCATTTTGTAACCTGTACGCAGCTCTGGACAAGCTGTAATATGAATGCTCTGAGAGGAGTTGGGGAGGAATATTCTGTGTGCTGTAGCATTATTGGACAGATGTACAGGGAGGGCTGAACAAGAGGCCCTAAGGCAGAATATTGTAGAGATGGGAGAGGATTACTGTAGTTGGAGGAATGCAGGAGATGCAGGAAATGTATCTGTACCTCACATTTTATTACGTGGACTCTACACATGGTAAGGTCAGATAAGAGATGAGGGAGGGAGAGACAACTTACCTAAATCTTTCCCAAAGCCAGACTGCTTAAATCCACCAAATGGGGCTGCCACATCAGTTTTGTTGTATGTGTTAATAAAAACTGTTCCAGCTTCTAGCTTTTCGCTGATGTAGAGAGCTTTGCTTATATCTTTTGTGAAAACTCCTGAAGCTAAGCCATATTCTGTGCCATTTGCCCGTCGCAGCACTCCATCAATGTCCCTGTGAGGGAAAGAAATGACTGAATTGCAACTAGGCAAAATAAATGTTAGCAACCTCCCACCTTCAGTGTCACTGAAGCTTTTCTCATGCTCACTCTTCTCCAGTTATCTTTTCTAAAGACAGCTTATTCAGGACTCATCAATGTTTTAACATGACAGATGTACAGAAACTCATAGGCTTGCTTCAAACTTGTGAAGCTCGCAACCTTACATGTGACTGGGTCAGAAATGTCACAAAGAAATGTCAAAGTTGTAGTACACATACCAACTTTGCTCAGCTACAGTACAGTTTAGGGATTAGAGCAATACAAAACCACTTGGGAAGCTGACCTTGCCTTTGAATCAGTTTATGAATCAGTTTGCTAAAATTTTGTCCTGTGTTACAACTTAATGGAGAATAAATGCTGAAACATGGAATTCCATCAAGCCATGACTTTCCAGGCCATGTTCAGAGTGCTGTTTTCTATTTGCAGCTCATCTCCATGCATAATTTATGGATGTGATGGGTTATCTGTGTGGCTGGTTCTCAACTGCATTATCAAACTATAGAAAATTTAACCTGGTGGAAATAGTTACATGAAGTTTCTATATAGGGTTTTAATCTCGTGTGTAAAATTCCTACGATTTGGAATGAAAGCTATTGAAACTGGCAGTCTACAAAGTATACAGAGGGATTTTCATTTGCAACAGTAATGTGCCAATGTTACACAATGCACAACAATGCTAATGTAGTCTTTTGTGACAGAAAAATAAGTGATTCCACTGTAAAAAATACACATTTTAATTTGATCAAGCTGCTGCAATTACCACATCAGTGTCAGTAAAAAGGTTTCACTGAATACTAAGGCTTATTTAAGGACTGGCACTTACGGTTGCCTTCTGTCCTGTCACACGCTGCTAACAGCATTATTTCTGTATTGAAGTGGAGCAGGATACCCTCTACTACAGAGGGTGTTTCCTCAGAATTTAGCTGGAAGCTGATCTAGGGACCCAGGCTGGTGTTAACAAGATTTAACAAAATTGCACTACATATGCTATCATTTCTACACTTAGGGTGAAAATGAGGAAGTTTCTAACAGTAACCAGAGGAAAACATACCCATTTTTAAATTTAGAGATCACCATCACAGGACCAAAGGACTCTTCCTGGGCAATATACATATGGTCTTCAACATCTGTGAATACAGTGGGTTCCATGAAGAAACCTAAACAGAGGACAGAGCACCATTTGAGCATGGCAAAAACGCTTCCCAGTTTCTACTGTCCAGGCCACCTCTTTTCCATACTTTGAGCTCATAGATAATTTGAGACTTCAAACAGAAAATACCAAGACTGATGTGAATCACGTATGAATACGTGTGTGGTAAGCACCAGAGAAACAGCAGGAAAAGGGTGAAAGAATGGCCTATATTGATCAGAGCAACAACTGTTTTCTGCCAGGCCAGAAGATCTATGTGCCACAGCCCAGGTGACTCCTCAGACGAAGACCATGCATTCTGACAGCAAAAAGACAAGGTTACAGCATGCTACAGAGGCCACTGATTTTCTTGTTACCCTATGAGCAGATAGACTATGGCCATTAAGATCTGTATATTCCAAACAAGGAAAAATAGATGATGGGCAACAATTTTGCCTATGATTTATAGATGCCCAAGCAAAGAAAATTCTGAGGCAAAGGACTTGTCCAAAAGCTAGCACATCATTGACAATCACAGACCGACCTGGTGTTATATCCTGGTCATCTACATCTTGGTGAGTGAGTGTATTCCAATTTGAGTGGGCAAAATCAACTCCAGAGATTTTATATAAATGCTGCCCCCTTCCACAGGACTTCCCATTTAGTTTCATTACACTGATTTTGTGTAGTTATGAATCTCCACTTTCATTTTATTTAGGGATGCAAGCATTGTTTTCAAATTTTGATGCAAATGTTTGATAAAGGGCAGATGTCTGTGAGAAAATGGTGCTTTCTTGCTTGTCCATTGAACTTACCATACATATTATCTATATAGAAAAAAGGGGATTTGATAATAATACCTTATACAAACTCTGCTAGCAGTTTCCCCAGTCAGCTTTAGTGTTAGTGTGATCTAAATTGATATGCTTATGGCACTTGAAAGTTCAAGGATGTAGCAAATAAAAACCTCAGTGCCTCACAAAAAAACAGGAATAGATGAGGAAAGATTCTTGTACAGACTAGATTCTGATTCGACTTCATATGTTATGCTCCAGTTGCAAAGCTTCTCTTAATATGAGACCTGAAAACCCTGTTCTCAAGTGGTATCTTGGGCTTACCTGGTACTGTTCCCATGATATTGCTACTTCACGTAATGCAGCAGAGACAATCATGATGGCTTTTGTTTCAAGTGTAGAAGTTCCAAACACCTCTGAGCAGTATTTTACCTGGTCTACGAACTTGTCTTCCTCCATACACTAGAGTGGCTCCTTCCTTTACTCCAATTTCACAATACTGCAGCAGCTTCTCCAAATGTGCCTTGTGATTTTGTGGACCATGATCTGTGGATCTATCAAGTGGGTCACCAATTTTCATCTTTTTTATTTCTTCCACCTATGGGTTACCCAATTAAAATGAAGTTACACAACATAGCAAATAGTTGTTAAAATTATCAGTGATTGAGGATGCTTCAGTTTTTGTGCTGTGAAGTTGGGACTCTAGGAAAGGGCTGAATTCTTGTAAGGTGGAATGCTCCTCCCTTTCTAAAATGAGGCTTTGTCTTATGTTTGATGATGTTCTGAAAGTTTTGAATGCTGTTTTTATGTATTCATTCTCTTCTGCTATTAAGATAGGCATGTAAAATGTTAGGTTTTACCAGTGGTAAATGAGTTTTCGTAGTGTTTTCCTGTTCTTGAGCTAAATAAATTAATTCCCCATCAGTACAGTTCGTTTTCAATAATGACCTTCATTTTATTCTAGCTGTGTCTTTTTTTTTAAGCTTCACAGCAGCCTTCAATCACATTGACCTAAGTTCAGTAATTATTTTTATCTTACTTTCATAGTCAAATATGAAATATCACCAGAGGTGCAATATCTATTTCAGTGTCACTTATCTGTGCATTACTGATGAAAATATCTCCCATCAGTGCCTTCCTTTTAACCTGTAAGAGGTTCCTGAGGAGCATTGCCTATCACAAGCAATAATGAAAAATTAAACAACTGAAAATAAGAATAAATACTTATTCTTTTAATGAAATAATAACTGTCTATGATAGTGAAACTTTGTGCCATGATAAATTATCTGCTTAAACTTTAGTCCTTCAATAACTTACCACTTTGCTAACAAATTCATCATGGATTGATTCTTCCACAAACAGCCTGCCAGCTGCAATGCAGTTTTCTCCTTTGTTGAAATATACTGCTCCCATACCCTGATCAGGGAAAAAAACATTAATATTTATATGCATCCTTCTGTTCAGTCTCCCTTTCATTCTGTTCCCTTGGGTTACATTCTGTGTTTGTGACCCTCAAAGCATAAAGCTTTATGTAAAGGGACATCAACAATGGAACAAGCAGACTAATTTTAGAGCTGGCAAAGACACTTCCACCAAAACAAATGTCTCAGGATGAACCCGTTAGCACTGCTATCAGCATTCCACAGAATCACCTGCTGCAGCATCACAGAGAAAAGGACTGGCAGCACCACCAGAGAATATAATACTGCTAATCCACTGAACCATACTTCTTGTGTTGAAAGTCACATGTATCTGGGTGAACATTACCTAACTCTATTTCAGGAATGTGAATTCAGCCCCCATGCTGTTTGTTCTTTTTTATTTATCAAGATCTGATCGCTGATAATTGCCCTTCCAGGGGGTAGGGAGGTGAGGGAAAGAAAAGCAGGACTAATGACATTCCTAAAAAATAGTTTTCTGGCAGCTGCAAAGGCATAAGGTTAATTTGGCTAGTGAAAATACTTTCCACCTATACTTCTTTGTTTTCTTGTATTTTCTAATGTGTATTTCTTGTAGTACTACTGATCCCTACCTTTTTGGTGCTGTATGGACAGTTTTACTGTGATGCATAATAAAATCCTGTAGAAAAAGAGTCTGTTTTCTGACAGATTGCATGATTTTTCATGCAAGGGCTCCCTACAGCGGTTTTTGGCAAGAAGAATACTGCAATACTGTGAAGATGCATCACAAAGGCTTTGAATATAATTTACGTCAAAGTAACATTACCATTTTTACAGCTCTGTCAAGTTCACAGTCACTGAATATGATCAATGGTGATTTACCACCAAGTTCAAGAGAAACTTTCTTCAGATTAGTGGCTGCACTGTAAGAAATAAAAACAAGTATATAAAAATACCATTAAAATATTATTCCATT